GCAAACCGCCCCAGTGCATGCTGGAGGTCCTGGTTTTGACGGAGCCAACAGGACAACGTCGTCTGCAAAAAGCAGAGACAAGATCCTGTGGTCCCCAAACCGGACTCCCTCCGGCCCCTGGCTGCGCCTAGAAATTCTGTCCATAAAAATAATGAACAGAACTGGTGACAAAGGGCAGCCCTGCCGGAGTCCAACATGCACTGGAAACAAGTCTGACTTACTGCCGGCGATGCGAACCAAGCTCCTGCTCCGGTCGTACAGGGACCGGACGGCCCTTAGCAAAGGGCCCCGGACCCCACAGGGCGCTGCGAGGGACACGGTCGAATGCCTTCTCCAGATCCACGAAACACATGTGGACTGGTTGGGCAAACTCCCATGAACCCTTCGCCACCCTGAAGAGGGTATAGAGCTGGTCCAGTGTTCCACGGCCAGGACGAATATTGCACCATTTGTTCAAAATTGTATAAGTACTGTATAAACAGATTTTCTGTTTTTGATACACAATTATATTAATACTGATGTTGTATACATGGCGCCATTTGATTCCACACTTTCCTGATCAATATACAGTTTGTAAGGGGTTAAAGAGGTGTTAGTAAATCAGCCTTTTTATTGTCCAACAGTCAACACCTATGAAGTGTGCGTCTTCACTGGTGACATGCTGGGAGCTGGGACCGATGCCAAAGTCTTCATTAACATTTATGGGGAAAATGGAGACACTGGAGAGCGCTTTCTGAAGAACTCAGACAACCTGAACAAATTTGAGCGAGGGCAGGTAAACGAAGAGATGGCCACTACTTCTAAATATGATCCACATAGTTAGGTTTTAAAACTTGATTATTTTATAGATGAAAGGGGAACAAATCTGGGAAGGTTCCATTTTGGTTCATAAAACAAACATTTCAAATTACACCGACAGACACTGTTACAGTTATTCTTACATAAACTTTGATCCTTATCAAGAGCATGAAAACAAACTAGTCATAGTCATTTCCAAGCAGTTTGTTTGAGCTTAGAGATCAAATTTAAAAGAGGCCATTTAATTAAAATTTTCATTAGGGCTATACAGTTTTACTCACTTTCCTGGAAGGTCATCTAGCTGAACATTAACCAGTAGTTAGTCAAAGGCACCTCCACGCAACATGAGCCTCGGCACCGAGGTGTGGTGGGCAGTGTTTTCTAGTAGGATTATAAGCTGCACTGCAGGTGAGCCAGCTGCTACTGTGAGGAGCTCTGTTGGATGATATGACTTTACTCTCTTGGCATTCTCTGGCCAAAATAAGTGTGCAAGGAAATTCACATTACATATTAGCTCACTGAATGTACGGTATTATTACTACAATTCTGAGAGGTGCTTTTTGACACTTTGAGGGGCAAAAATAATACACAAAATTGAGATGATCATTCTGCATTTCTGAATTAAATATCATACATGTACCTTTTACTATTCTACATCATTTGACAGCCAGTTCCTTAGCAGGTTAAATTTTTTTTTTACAAACATACAGTATCTATTTTAGTAGGTATACCTATGCAGTCTACTACAACCCAATACAACTCTTCTGCAATATTCTACTTTTATTTTGCTCATAATATTAGTTCTGCCAACACTGTCAGTCTGGTGTTAATTCAGCCATGGTGGTGTTTCTATTAAACTACATTATTTAGAGGCATTTCTAATATTCTGCCTTCCTCGTGTATGTAAGTGGGAAGAGCAAAAAGTTCTAAACACCTGAAAAGTGTGTAGTACTGTATTAATAATTATAATTCAATATAATCGAGTGCACAAATAGGTGTGTTTAATTTTGATACTATATTTTATTTGAATAGTTATGTACTTGATAGCTGGACTTTTACTTGTAATGGAGTATTATTACAATGCTGCTGTTACTACCTTTGCTTATGTAAAGGATCTGAATACATTTTGCTTGTAATACTCCATTTCTCTCTCATCATACATGTTCTGTGTTTCTTCACTTGAATTATAAAATGAAGACAAAAAAATAACACCCCCCCAAAAAAAACTATAAGATTAACAGGACGTCTGTTTGCTGTATTTTGCAGGAGGATGTTTTCATTGTGACAGCTGTTGATCTGGGTCCTCTGAAAAAGCTACGAATCCGTCATGACAACACCCATTCTCATTCATCTTGGTACCTGGATCGTGTTGAGATTGTGGACACAAAGGATGACACAACGTAGGTGATACCACTATACAGTTTGCATGGGTGTTGTTATCAAAAAGGGAGTGCATATAATTCTACAACAAATAGCAATGTAACAGAAGATCATCTCAGAGTCAGAAGCATTGGAGGCATTTTCTTTTTTTGGGTCTGCAGGTACTATTTTCCTTGTAACCGCTGGCTTGCAGTGGATGAGGATGATGGACAGATAGCAAGGGAGCTGGTGCCTGTGGACGAGGCTTTCATGAGGAAGGATGAAGAAGGGACAAGCGCCACCCTAGGGCTCGAGCAGAAATGTAACACAGCTTCAAAACTGGCTCATGTCTTACTAGAGGGAGATAAAAGGGAGTCCTGTTCAAATATTTAAGTGCTATCCAAACAGCCAGGAGTAGATGAGAGCAAAGTGGAACCCATGTATTACTATGAAGATGAGAAGGATTAAAGTTCTGACTTGTTAAATTTATCTTACAGCCATGTCTACTACATATACTGTTAAAATGAAAACTGGTGAAAAGAAGTATGCTGGAACTGATGCCAATGTCTTTGCCGTCCTGTTTGGTGAAAATGATGACACAGGTGAGATACTGTACTTTGCTAGTATCCTCACCTTATGCTATATGTTATTAGTTAAATTATACCAATTTAAAATGTTCCTGTCACTCACAGGGATCATTAACCTAAAGGCTTGTAAGACTTATAAGAATAAGTTTGAACAGGGGCTGATAAATGAGTTCACTGTAGAGGCAGTCGACCTGGGCGACCTGGAAAAGATTCGAATTGGTCATGACAACTCAGGTAAGGAAAAGGGCATACAGACCAGAAATAAGCAGCTGCTGTCCTAAGTGCAATATTTGAAACTGAATGATATGACTGTTTTTCCACTATCAGGGGTTTCGGCTGGTTGGTTCTTGGACTGGGTTGAGATTGATGCCCCCTCACAGGGTCAGAGACTATGCTTTCCATGTGGCCGCTGGTTGGCTAAAGGAGAGGATGATGGAGCAATAGTGAGGAATCTTTATCCTGCTGAGCTACAAACTGAATACTACACACCATGTGAGTGAACAGCCATGGAAAAAAGCACTCAAATCCATTAGTAAAAGCAGCACTGACTGAAAAATCTCCCTGTAAAAGTGCTTTTTGCACATTTTTACTCAGCTAAAAGTGTGGCAGCATTAGCAGTAAATATAATTAACACCTGAATAATGGTGCTTGTCAGGACATTGACTCTTTGATGGGACCTATAATGTTCCCATGGTGGCTCTCCTTTTAAACTTCACCACTTTTTGACGTGCACATGTAACAACGCTGCACTCATAGACACAGGTGCAAACATGGCATCTGTTTATTTTCACTTTTAACTAGCAAAAAAAAAGTGTCTGACACAAGCACTGTATGACGCTGTCTTCTACACACAGTCACACCATTAACACAGTAAACTCTTGTTCTTTTTACAGCAGGTGGTCATTATCATCTAAAATTGTAATAAATTCAAAACTCAGAAGCAACCAACCAGCTACAACCATCAGAATAAAACAGTGTAGCATATATATATATATATAGTACTGTGAAAAAGTCGCCATTAAATGTGTCATTTCAGCAATATTATTATGACAAAATATATTTATTTGTTAGAATACAGCTAAAAAATATCATATGTACACAGTATTACACGTCAGAAAAAAATCGGCAAACAAACTGGATATGCAAGACGTGGTATTCAGGCTATTCTAAGGAAATATGAAGAATCTGTCGAGGTCAAGGACAAACATAGGAGTGGAAGACCAAGAAAACTATCAAAATCTGATGAGAAGTTTCCCAGAGTCTCTTCTCTGAGATACCAGAGGAAATCCAACTCTGCATCCTGCAGCTTCATCTGGATGCCCAGTTAATCCTTCCACAGTCTGAAGAAGCTTGATCAGGGATGGCCTTTGTGCAGCCTAACACTTGCCCAGTACTGTAATTGCAATGCATAAAATATTCCACATACTTATGGTGGAGTCTTGCAATAAAGTAAATGCCCAAAAAGTCAATACCAGTATAGTTTAAAAGCCCTACATATAGTACCTAAGTGTGCCAGCAGTACCTAAAATATATACTTTTATTTTGTTCACATAAGTATTATCGTCTGATAGAGACGAGAGTGCCAAAATTGTACTGCAGTGCTTAAGTAACTGCAGTTTGTGACTTTACATCTCTCCAAGTTTAAGCATGTAAGCATATTGTTAAATTGAATATTTATAGCTTCCATCTTAACCGACGTCAACTGTGACCTTCTCTGGTTTTTCAGTTGTGCCTTATGAGATAAAGATATACACCAGTGATGTGTTTTGTGCGGGAACAGACGCTGACGTGTTTATAACCTTGTACGGACGTAAGGGAGTGTGCACACAGCAAAAACACCTGTGTGTCAACAAAAGAGAGAGACGCCTGTACTTTGAAAGGGGAGCTGAGGACATGTTTATTGTGGAGGTGAGTGTGTGGATTTGGACTATTGATTCTTTAAGACAATGAGTGCAGCTCCGTAAACACTGTCTTCTCTTTTCCCAGTTGGAGGATGTAGGTGACGTTATAGAGAAGATCAGAATAGGACATGACAACAGGGGCACCAACCCAGGATGGCACCTTGACCGAGTGGAGATCAGGAGACAACTTCGGAAAGGAAAGGTATCAGAAACCCACTCACATACGTAGCTGAGAGGCTCATTAAGGGTCACCTTGTCTCAAAGGCAGATTTACTTTCCTTCAGTGTTAGACAGACACACATAGGGCCAATTTGGTGGTTTGTCTCTGTTTAATGGCAGGGGTCCGAGACGACCATTTTCCCATGTGAGCGCTGGCTGGCCAAATCTGAAGATGACGGGGAGACTGTGAGGGAGCTGGTCCCCTCCGACATTATCACACAGAAGCTGCTCAGGGATGGGACGCTGAAAACGACTGAAACAGAGGTGGAGGATGCTTTGGAGAGTAGGTTCACCCTGATTTCACTTGTTCAAGTAGAGTACAAATCTGCGTTTAATGTTTCCCTTTCATGCTACTTCATGCATGTACTCCACTACAGTTATTTAACTGCTTTAGTTCGTTTTTTTAAATGTAAAGTAAGTCTCTGGTAGTATGAGAGAATCTGTCTATAAACCAAAATGTCATACTCAGAAACTTTGTATATCACATGAACGCACTGCTGGACTCAGTTCATATTGTTTGAATTGTTTTTATTCTTTTCTTTCACAGCTCACACGTACAAGGTGTCTGTGCGGACAGGTAATATGTACGGAGCAGGAACAGATGCCAATGTTTTCATCACCATCTACGGAGACCTGGGAGACACAGGGGAGCGGAAACTTGCCAAGTCTGAGAACAGCAAGAACAAGTTTGAGAGAGGAGGGGTATGTGGGGGAAAGGTGTTATTTGCTTGCTTGCAAACAATGATGGTAAGATGATGTTATGGGGTAGGACTAGATAAGTCTAACTTCTTCCTACTCCGTTCAAGCATGTAGTAGGTATAAGCAATTTGATAATGCATTTGTGGATATGTGTGAAATTATGTGTGTTGACATATTGACTGTCTTTACATGTTTGAAAGAATAAATCAAATCAAATCAAATATTTGTGTTGGTATCAAAGTGTGTTACGTTCTCTCTGCTTCTCAGGTGGACAAGTTTTCTATCGAGGCTGTGGATCTGGGGCAAGTGTTTAAGATTCGTATTCGTCATGACAACTCCATGTTGGGGGCTGACTGGTACCTGGACCAGGTGGAGGTGCTGGATGTGGACACCGAAGAGGTGTACATGTTTCTGTGTGAGCGCTGGCTGTCAAAAAAGAAAGAGGACAAATGCATAGAGAGGACCTTCTTTGTCAAGGTTGGAAGAGTTTAATTAATTTTATTTATTACACAAATCCATATTAAAATGATATTCTTGAGCTTATCCCACTTATACAAAGAATAATTTACATGCACAGGTCAATCAATACTTAAAAGCCAAATGTACTGATGCACATAATGGTTAGTTTCCATTTTCTTGGATTGGGCTTGAAATGCAAAATTTTGCAACAGACACTCAGCCGTACAGCCAGAGGTGTGGACTTTGAAAGAACTGGCCATGTAGGTCAGTTATTTGCTCAATTAATTAATTGTTTGTTCTATAAAAAAATGTGAAAACTCTAAAGTCCTTCAGAAACAGGCCATAATTGTGGGCACAGAGGCAACACAGCCAGAGTAAGACCAGCCAGACCTACATTTTACACATTCATTATACAGTATGTATGCATAATCTGTTTGTGTTATGAGATCTTGAGTCTTATGCTGGTGGTTTGTTGCTAGTTACTTTTCATAACCAGATAATACAGAAAATATAGCATCTAGACCTCATCTACCCAGCAGTAACTCAAATTAAATGCACATAAGTTCATTAAAATTAGCTCCCCCTTTACCAGCTGCAGCATTAAATGTGATGTACACAATAATGCATCAGTAATTATTATATGATATAAAGGAATGTGAAACGTGCCATTTTGCACAATGAGTACTTTCAGTACTTTAAGTATGTTTTGATGCTAATACTTTTGTACTTTTACTTAAGTAACATTTTGAATGCAGGACTTTTACTTGCAACAGAGTATTTTTAGACTGTTGTATTGCTACTTATGTAAAAGGATCTGAGTATGTCTTCAACCACTGCAGTGGTTAGTTACAAGAAGCCAATGAGTCCATTGTCTGTGTCTGGTTTAGGGGTATGAAGGTGACAGAAACACTGATCCAAATTTCAAGAAGATGGCTCAGGCCAAACTGGGACTGGACAGAAATGCCAACAAGAAGAAAAAGAAGAAAAAGGTGGCAGTGGTGGAAGAGGGTCCAAGTAAGGCCACAGAATTGGTCTTCATGGTTTTCAGTGTGGGATTTGAGTATGATGAAAACAAATGTAATTGTGGCCGAAGACTGTTGCACAATACTGAAAACAAAAAGAAAAGCTTTTAAAAAGCTCCGTAATTAACATGTCTTGTTTGTAAAACAGAATAATACTTCTGTGGTCGGATGGTTGCAATGCATTAACTGAGTTTTAGAGGTGTAGCTAGGGGGATTTTATTGTTCTCAGACCAAGTCAGGCTACCTGTTTCCAGTCTTTATGCTAAGCTAAGATACAAACAGAGTTCTGTCAGTTCTATCATGTCACTCTTGGAGTGTATTTTCCAAAAGTTTTCCTTTTAATGCAATTGAAATTTCAAAGAACTGGCTTTAACCATTTCTTCTCTCTCACCCAGTCATCCCCTACCATTTCAGTGTTTCCACGGGGATTGACCACGATGCCAGCACCACAGCCAGGGTCTATGTCATTATTATGGGCCCTGGTGACATTGAGACAGACCGACTGTGGCTGGACCTGCCAGAGGGAAAGAAAGCCTTCGAAGAAGGCTCCATGAACCACTTTGTGTGTTATGGAACTGACATAGCAGAGATCAAGAGGGTTGAAGTGAGAATCTGGAACTGTCATTGTAGATAAATCTGTGAAACTGTCTCCTCTGTGCTGCCTCCTTAGACACACTGATGTTAAATGTTTAAGTAAAACCATTGTAGCTCAGCAATAATTAGTTCTACCAATGCCTTTTGATGTCTAGATCAAACAAAATGAAATGATATACCAATTCCCAGTTCTACCTACCCCATGTCTTTGTCTCTCCTCTCCCTCCTCTTTCGTCTCTTTCTCTGTCTCTTCTTCAGCTCGGCCATAATGGAGTTACACCAGAGAGCTGCTGGTTGGTGGATGAGCTGACGGTTGCCGTGCCAACCAAAGGTATCAAGTACATCTTTCCATGTAATTGCTGGATGGCTAAAGACAGGGGAGATGGTCTTACTGCCAGACTGTTCAACGTGCTCGACTCCAGCACGATCAACATTACCCGCAAAGTGAGTCACTGCACATAAAATATCATATCTTGGAAAACATCCAGTTAATGTGTTGTATCAAAACTGAATTTGTCTTTTCTGTATATGTATTTTCTACTGTTTATTATAGGTTGTTTATTCGGTCACAGTTGTCACAGGTGACATCCAGTATGCAGGGACTGATACCAACACTTTTATCACTGTGTATGGAGCCAACGGCAGCACAGAAGAAATGCTACTGCCTAAAAATGGAGATAGGTCAGTCTTCTCAAAGCTGTGTTGATAAAGGAATGGTTAGATACTGTATTTTGGGATTGATGCACATAATAGTCTGATGCGACTATTTTTTTTTTGGCCCAGAGTAATAACTTCCATGTTCTCCACTTGTTTACTGATAACTTTCCAGAAAATCACTTCTCACCCCACAAACCATAAAAACATTTTTAAACTTTGGTTTTTGTACAGATAAAGCAAAATATAATGTGTTAACCTGTGAACTTTAGAGGTGCAGATGGATTTTGTTGCCGTAGGACAGAACCAGACTAGCTGTTTCTGCTTTTTGTGCTAAGCTAATAGCTACAGAGAATATAAATATCTCATGCAATAACTCCACAAGAAAGTACAGCCATTCTATGTCCAGGTGTTTTCAAATACAAAATTATACAGAGAGTATGTATTGTTTCTGTCTAGGTTTGAAAGAGGCCAAGAAGACACATTCAGCCTAGAAATAGATGACATTGCTCCTCTGAAGAAGATCCGAGTTCGGATTGATGGCAGTGGTAGTCGCCCTGACTGGTTTCTTGACAGGGTAACACAAAGTGCTAGAGCTACTGTCAGCAGGGACAAAAGGGCATTTCTGGGAAGAGCTATCAAAATACAATATGTAGTGAAGTATGATTTTTACATTAAGTTACAATTGAAAATCACAGCACTTACCATTTGGAAACTGCATTATAAAAAAAATGCAGTTTAAATATGAAAAATTAACATTTTGTCCTTAGTAAAATGCAAAAGCAACTGCATCTCCTAATTATTATTATTTCTGATTATTTTCAAGTAAGAGCAAGATACATTTGTGATTATGCTTGGTACAGTTTTTTTTTTTTTAATATAGGCTACAAATACAGCCTTCTAGGCATACTGTATATGTTTCACTAATATTTCAGCCCTAAAAACTATTAATGTGAAAGTTTCTGTCATACTGTGATGTGCAATAAATGTCCCAATAAATGCATTTAGATCCTGATGCGGAATCTGACCACAGAGGAAGTGTATCTGTTCACTTATGAGAATTGGCTCTCAAAGACTAAAGGACCCATGAGGACGAAGGTGTGTGAGCTGCCAGCTGTGGTGGATGAGGAGGAGATGATGGAGAAAACAACCTACATCATCCAAGTCCAGACCAGTGATGTGGGAGGTGGGTCACAGGAGTTTTGTATGATATAGTCACGGTGGACTCCGTGATCTATGTTTAGTTGTCTTAAAGACATTTTAATTCAAATGTATGAAAAAAGGAGACACAGTGGTTAGTGCTGTATGAACAACATGCATGTTGTTGATTTCACTGTAATGTGTCTTGACCTGCACTAATATGTAAGTTAGTATTCAGTTTATAGGTTAGGGTGAGTCTCATTTTATGGCTTGTGACACCTTCAAAAACTGTTATTGATGATGTTTTAGGTGCTGGGACTGATGCCAACGTGTTTCTGATTGTGTTTGGGGAATTCGGAGACACTGGGAAGCTGCCTCTGAAGGAGAGCAACAACAGGAACAAGTTTGAGCGTAAAACAAAGGATGTGTTCAGATTTGCTGACATCCTCAGTTTGGGTGAACTGTCCAAGGTCCGAGTGTGGCATGATAACAAAGGTGAGGAGGAGGAAAGGAGTGCTTGGTGTCAATGCAGTATAAAAAACAGCAAGGGGAGGAACTTTGTGCACAAAAAACTGTTGTATGAAGATGATTTGATGGTGACAATTTGGCTTTAAAAAAAGCATACTGTTCTTTGATATTATAGGAAGATTTTTTCAAGATGGATGTTGAAATAAAAAAACTAATCACTGCATTAAAAACATTTTTGTATAGAAGAAATAAAACTGTTATGCATTTTGTGACTGTAAATAGGCCCTGCTCCTGGTTGGCACCTGGACTACATCGATGTGAAAGATGAGGCTATGGATCAGACATTTAGGTTCCCCTGTGACCGCTGGTTGGCTAAAAACGAAGATGATGGGCAGATAATGAGGGAGCTGGCCTGTGCCAACAACAACTCTGTAGACCTCAGTGACAAAACCAGTTAGTAAAAACTGAATTCTGTGGGCATAATTACAAGCTCTCTGTTTCAATTCAATTTTATTTGTATAGCACCAAATCACAACAAAAGCCGTTTCAGGACACGTTACTATTATAGAGGAAAAGCTCAACAAATCCCCCGTGTCAGAAATGAATGACTGGCAGCTAATTACAGCCATTTACTAGACGTGAAGTGAATACAGTGTAACTGTCTTCCCTGCATTGTCACAGAATATGAAATTGCCATAACGACTGCTAACACGGATGACGCCTCCACCACAGAAAATGCCTGGATCGTGTTGGAAGGAAGGAAAGCCCGTTCCAAGGAGTTTGTTCTGGAGAATAAGAAAAAGAAGTTCTTAAGGTAGGTCTTCAAAGAGAGTCTAGGTGCCTTGACTTGCAGTAAAACCCTATAATGTGACCTCTCTTACACATGTTTTGTTTTTCTGCTTTCTTTATCTTTACTTTCTGTTCTCCGAGTCTCTCGGGAGAGCTAATCTCATGAGATGCACAAAAGACATGTTCAGGATCAGACTCTACTAGTAGTTGTAATCTTTTTGACCTTTCACAGTGGTGCCACTGACACGTTTGAGTTCTCATCCAAGCACGTGGGGGAGATTGCCGGAATCTGCCTTGGCCACATAACGAAAGATGGCAAAAAAGTGAAGAAGGATGCTTTCTGGCATGTTATGGAGGTGGTGGTGACAGAACAAGAGATGGGAAACAAGTGAGTAGCATCTCACTCAACCTGTATTATGTTATATAAAATGTCATGTTGCTGGTATGGATGTGACTCCAAGCCTTCCTTCCTGTTTAGGTATTTCTTCCACTGTGATGCACAAATCCCCCTGGCAGCCAAAAAGGACCAGTTCCTGACATTTGAGTGCTATAAGTCCATCGAGAGCTTTGCGAGCAAAATCCGCAACCTGGTTCCTGTCAAGTATGAAATCCTTGTCATCACTGGGGACGTCAAAGGAGCCGGCACTGATGCCAACGTTTTCATCACCATCTACGGCGTGAACGGTGACTCAGGCAAGCGTCAGCTGAGGCAGAAGTTCCGCAACCTTTTTGAGCGAGGGCGAACGGACCGCTTTGTTCTGGAGATGCTGGACCTCGGGGAGCTGCTGAGGGTCAGAGTTGAGCATGACAACAGCGGAACAAATGGTGGGTGGTTTTTAGAGTTCATTGAGGTGACCAACACAGCCAACTCAGTCACAACCATCTTCCAGTGCGGAAAGTGGCTGGACACTCGAAAGGCTGACATGCAGATTCAGCGAGTGCTTTACCCCAAATATTAGGAGGAGGACGTATAAAATGTGTTAGCAATTCCTTCAAGACTTTGTCACTTTTTTACTCTCAGATGAGCTTTGCAAGAGGAAAAGAAATGAAATTAACAGACAAGGGAGGTCACTTCATGTCAACTTTTGAAGGATAACACTACTGTTTATTTTAAAGTTTGTGCCAACTCTTTAGGTTGCCCCTCTTGTAGCATCAGAAACTACCTTTTGCTACCATCTTTTCTTGTACAGTTTGAAAAATAAGGAGACCTGAATACAGAAGATCCAGCAAAATAGACATGCAAACTTAATTTCTTTCATTTCTTTCCTTGTTTTGCTTATTTGATTGCCTGTTAAGTATTTTTGTACACACAATTTTACGTTCTGCTTATCATGAATTACATGACACCTCAGGTGGCAAAAAAAGTCCCAAAAATTCCATCTATGGCTGCACAGAACCAGAAAACATATTTTAGAAAACTGTGAATGCTATATTTTGCACCTCTGAGCCACTGTAGTTTTTACTTGGAGCATTTGAGTTTGCTGTGAGGGCAATCTAATTCACATTTGAACTGTAAATATTTGAATTTTAATTGGCTAGGATAAATCTAAACCTGAAGTAAATTGGCTTTAATGTGAAATGAAATGGGACGAGTATTCTCCCAGAACCTTTCAGGCATTTTGACACAAATGCTGCAAATCACACATTGTGAAATTAAAGAATATTTATATATTATTACTTTGCAAATTTTCACACTGTGCTATATAATAATGATAAACTAGCCCATATTCATGTTTTAATGTAAACATTTCCATAAGGATCCCTTAAATCTGTTTAACTGTGACAATTTTATGTTGCTGTAACAGGATTTGTTTGAGTAAATGACTTTACCAAAATGCCAAATAACATCACAAACTAGCTTATTTCTCAGCATTTTAGGCAGTTTATTTGAAAAACACATACAAAAAGATCATATACAAGACAATAAATAAAAAAGAAACAGAACAGTTTGGGTTAAGCTATGCAACTTTTTGCATCATCATTAGTAATAAATACAGTACAAAATCCACCCAGAGTGAATCTAAAGAGTTTCCACAATATTCACTGATCATGTTATTCTTCATTATGATTTCGCTATTGCTTTCATATTATTGATACATACTTCTACTTTTCTATAAAATACTCAAGATCATAAAACATTGCGCAGTTACAGCAAAACAGCAGTGTGTTGTACAAAGATGGCCACTTCCCTTTTTCACTGGCAGGTTAATAATCAACATTTTTTCAGCAGCAAAGAAACATTGGAAATATTCAAGAAGGTACAGCATCATATTAAACACATCTACAGAGCTACTCCCACATACACATAGGAAAACCTGAGAAGGACATGCATTAAAAAGCTTGTGCTTTAAGTTCTACTGTTCATTCTGGTTCATCAGCTTGAGTTAATACTATGGCTACAGTCCAGTTCGCTCTGGAGTAATGGGGTACACTGTGGAGGGCATGGGGTAAGGCCAGTGAGAGCATGAAATGAAACAATAGTAAGACCAGGCCGCTTCATTCCAGTCCATTACATGTTATAGTCATTTGCAGGATTAGTAGAGTATTAATAAGAAATGCACACCGAAAACAGTTAGCTTATTATACCCAGGTGTAAAACACGCTATCTATATTGTATAACCACAGTACACCAGAAATTTGCTCAATAAGATCAATGGCTCAAGTTAGCATGTTAGATACTTCCCAACATCCCACACAAAGCAATTGCCAGCAATACACAAGAACAAATAATACAGCCTGTTATGTGGGTCCTAAATTAATAAGCACTAAATTGAGATCCTGATACTATGGAATATCATGAACATGGTCAAGGTAAAACTAAAAAATATCAAAAGTTAAATGAAATATAACTGATTATGGGAAGCAAAGCAGTATCATATAGCAAAGGTAAGCTAACGGTGGCACTAAACTAAGATAAAGGAGACTGCAAGCAACCATCTGCTCTAGATTAAAGCAGGGATGACATTTTAAAAAGTTAAATCAAACGATGACATGAATGGAATGTAATCCAGATCAACAGCACCATGCTGGCTAGAAATGTGTTGGGAATCACAATCAGTCAATTTCAATAAGTTTCTTTTTTTTTTCTCCTTTGAAAAAGAAAACACAGACGGCATGCAGAAGCATCCCCACCAACCAATGCATAATGAGGTATTCTTTTTTTTAATATTTTGTGTTATCTTAAATAAATATATTGATTAAATTGCAAAGTTATGAGATAGAGACATTAAATATTCCACCACGATAGCTAGCTAGCTACAGTTAGTAATAAATAATGATTGTTAAATACTTAAGGCATCTTTAATCACAGCATTCTATGTGAACTAGCAAACCTCCATTTTCATCCATCTGTAGTTTTTTGGATGGAGGTTTCATACAAAAAGGGGGGAAAATGCAACACAAACAGTCAAGTTACCCTTCAATAATACACGAGGAAGCATGAAAATACTTGTAACTGATAAGAAACTCAAAGTCTAGGACAAGAAGAACCCACACCACCAAACCAAAAATCAGGCAACTCCATATTATAATGCATTTACAAAACACAAGCTACATTATAACAACAATTAATGTTTTTGCAGCATTGCAGTTTTTTCTTCACTATGGTTAAAATGGACAAGGACTTGGCATATTAGTACCATGTCCAAATTGGCTTGTGAGCAAAGAATAAAAAACACACAAACACACACACACATAATCAGAAACATAAAACAAATGGAAGAAAAAAAATTGTCAAGAACAGTTGTTTGGTATTTTTCAAATGGATGGCTTTTTCTCCCTTTCACCCTCCTTCAAGCGAACTAAGCCAACATGGTTCATGCATGATATAGAGAAAACAGCTTCTATCACTGAATGTGTCACAGTTGTTCTAGCAATACCATACACTACTACCATGAGGGGAGAGGGGGCGGGGACAGTCATACACATTTTAGCATGTATCACAGGCAAACTACTTTGTATTTTCCCTGTAACACCAGACACACTTTTTTTTTTATCAAACAATGGGAGCAACTTAGACTGAAATGAAAGGAGCCAATACACAACAGAGGTGATTCACTGTATATAGAAATCACATGTGCTTGTTCGATAGGCAATAAGGTTCTGGTAATAGGTCATACAAATGTCAGATTTTATTCACTCTGATGGCAGCGCTCAGGCGCTGCATCCTCGAGCCCATGCCGGCCTCTCATGATCATGATCATGCCATGAGCGAGGCAACAGAGAGGAGTTGCTGTTAGACACGGATCCACTAGCAGCTGTTTTAATCCTAATCACAGATATTAGGAGAGAAATGCTACATTTGTCTGGGATCGGTGTCTAAGGGCAACTTTGGGATGAGTGGGGAGGTGTGTAGGGAGGTGGGGCATTAAGTGCATTCTTGTCCTCCTTTATGAATGAGTGGGATCGTCAGAGTCATAGTATACAGTTCACATGCACAGACACAGTCCCTGTTTCTACTGCTCCACAACATTAACAACACAGCCCAAGCCTGCCATACAGCATGCACATCTGAGGCCTCTGCTCTAGGTTATAGAGGCCCAACTACGACACTACACAGATCACTGGAAGCCATGCCTGCAGTTTGCGGCTTTAGCATCAACTCTGGTGGCATCTACTAACTGTAAATCCAAAACCATGTTAGACAAGAAAGAGGGGTTTTTGGCTTTTTTTTTTTTTACACAACTAGTGCTTTCTCTCATTGCCTATGATTTAACACACTGAATATTCTCACTGTTAGAGCTGCATTCACCCTCTTTATATGTTAATTTTCCACAAACACATTTCTCAAAAGGCTTTTGCTTGCTACACAACACTGATACTCTGTAAATACTTATTCAGTACTATACTCCATTACACCACAAGCGTTCAGCTACAAGAGTTCACACCAAACAACCTCATGCTAATCATTTGATAATGCTCTGTACAGATGTGCTGAGGGCTTGGGCAGAGTGCAGCTTAATAATGGATTTTTCACAGGTCTGGCATAAGGGGTTTAGATATAGTGGCAGAGAAACGCACCACACTGAGCTGGGGAGGTTGGTATCCAGAGCGTTCACTCTCTCTCGGTGGCTATATGGAGAAATGTGCACAGTCTGACAGAATCGTGTGAGACCTCAGCACATCTGTTCATATGTGTCTGCTTCCTACCTTTTACATTCAGTAAAGTCCATTCAACTAAGCATCAGTCCAGCCACCTATCTGTGCATCAACCCCAATCCCTCACTGTGTTGTAGGTGAGTGTGCTTTGTTGATCCCTCTGTCACACCTGTCTCAGAAAGCAGGCTCGTTGAGTGATGCTGAGGGGAAGAGGGGTGTTTGGCAGAGCTCTCTCCCCACCAGAGGGAAGGCAATGGAGAATTAACAAGACAAGACCCAAAGCTGCAGGAGTGGACAGGAGCTATCAACTGTCAGGGTTCAGCTGGGTCTCAATGTCCACTCTGCAGATGGGGCACTTCCTGCTGGTGGCCAGCCACTGATCCACACAGGCCTGGTGGAAGAGGTGCATGCAGGGTAATCTCCTACAGACACAGAAAAGAGACAGTCAGGGTTTTAAAGTGACTCACAGCGCAAAGCTGGCTGTAAGGATTGATTTTACAGGTCCTGTCTTTTTCAGCAATTTTTCTGAAAACTCAATTTTCCTGAATATGAGATGGTATTTAGCTGTATATTACTACATTTCCAAGAAAGGCCTGTGCAATTTGGTACTAATTATAAGAGAAAAGGAGAAAGTCTTATTTTCATTTAAGAAATAAATTAGGAAATTATGTAGCACATAAGTGGAAAATTATTTTTAAACAGACATCAATAGCCACCAGAGTTTAGAGAAAGACAAATTCTTTGTTTAGATTGTTCATGACTTTACAGCAGCTGTCGTACATAATAAAACCTCTTGGTTAATCAGTAAATATTCATTTATTTGATATTCATGCTGCATTTTGATTGAACTGCATGCTTACATCTACTTTTCAACTTTAATGAAAACTCCTTAGTTTTGCTTTTCAAACTGATACAATAATGCAAATAAAGCGCACTCCAAATATTTCACTGAGTCAGCAGATATAAAGTACTTAAAAACAATGTATTCTATCAGACAGGTAAAATAAGCTCAGGTAAAATGTTTGGTTTTTATGTAAGAATATTTGTTAGTAGCCCTGCGGTGCATTGGCGACCTGTCCAGGGTGTACCCCGCCTTCGCCCGATTGCTAGCCAGGATTGCTCCCCCCTCTCAATGAATGAATGAATGAATATATGTTAGTCTTTCTTGGAAACTACAGTGATATTTGGTGTTTATTACCTGTTTTTCACTTTCCTAATACATAATTTCCTATTTAATTTTTAAATCTCCAATATAATGAGCAAGCAACTATTACTGTTTCCCTTATAATTTTTTTGTTTGTTTTCTACCATCTCTTCATGTCAGACATTAAATGCCACCTCTGTGTTAATAAAGGTCATTGGACTATGACAACAATGGAAATATGTCCAGACCAAGTCTGATGTGCTATATTACATACATAAATATGTTGGTAAACCAAACCAAACAAGCACAGTTTTAACAGCTGTGGATATTCTGCTTAGTTACAAGCGCTTTATATCTCCACCGTACTTGTAATTTATGGGTTCCGTCATGTTAAATATCCAGATTGTGTTGAGAATAGATCCAAGTGCCTGACTGTTACATTTGGCACCAGAATGCGTCTGACTGCTTCACATGTCACATTTGATTTTATCTGTGGGGAAACTGCTACTGGTGCTAAAAATGCACATTTACATTGACAGCAAAGAAGAAAGAGTATTTTATTGGGTATTTAGTTACGCTCCTAAGTTAATCAGAAATGCTACTGTACATGCACATACAGTATTACTAACAGGTCCTTTAGGAACATATTTCATATTCACACGACAGTACTACTGTGAACACCACCAGGCCTTCACCCCCACTGAATATTCAGCCAATGGTTCTCCTGTCACACCCCCTATGGAAGGCAAAAAATAAAAAAAAAACTGTCCAAATCTCTCCTGTTATATTGATAGTAGACTCCAGTGCAAGACAGGCTTCAACATATTTTAGATGCAACTGACATCCCCTTATTTTCTTCTCCAGCAAAAATCTGATCTTGTACTTGTTGTTCTGTCTAAACAACTTGAATTTTGATTGAAAGCAACACAGGACACAAGTTTGGTTATTGTTCCTTCAAAAATAAGATGCTTTCAATTTGACCCACATCCCACATTTTACCCTTGGTTATGTTTCCCCTTGGCTTAAATCAAAGATGTCTTGAGCAATTAGATCTGCTCTGATGGCCAAGTGTATCCTCAGTGTATTGCGGTACATATGGTCTATTTATTTTCTTTTACTCAGTATAAGCAGAAACACCTGACCCAAGATAACCCTAGGTTCTCAGCTACTTTTTTTATTCTTTTATGTTTTGTCAGAGAGTAATATAACATGCATCATCACTTTGCCTGTGAGACAGACAGTTCACAACACTGGACACACATCATAAGATTCTGTGAAATGTTAATGTTGCCTTTGGGCAGTATTTTCAAGATGAGGTCCTGGAAGAAATCCTGTGATAGGATTTTCAGTCCTGATGCTTTGAACTTGCATAGCAGAACCACTTTAGGGTTAAAAACTGCTTAGACTCTATGACTGTGTATCTACTTTGAAGAAGTGCATATATAAAAAACAATCAGGAAATGCGAAGATGTTTTGCTAACCAGCAGGAAAAGTGTTGTCTGGGGAGACACAAGACCTCAACCAGCTCTATGTCCACTGCATTGGATGTAAAAACAAATACTGTGAACAAATGAGGCATCTTATCCCTCCAAAAATGTTAAACCAATATAAAACCTCACCATGCAAGAACCATAAAAGAAGATCTAGCAACTTACAACAAACTGACCTTTGAAATTTCATGACAATTCATCTGAATGCAGTTGGGAGGGTTCGCTAAAATAAAACACAAATGGTGGCACTCATGGTGACACTAGAGGAGCAATCACCAAAATCCTCGTGAGACCATGAACATCTATATGCAATTTACTGTCAATAAATTTAAAAGCTGTTGAGATCTTTTCAGTCTGAGTGACAAAACCCTGCTGCTAGCATAGTTACAAACTGTATGTAGCTAAGGACCAGCTCAGGAATCCAAAGTTTAGCTAAGTACAGCTGCAAAACTCCACAATGTTCAAATATGCATAATCAGCTTCTTTTACCCCTGAAAAAGCAAAAGAAAATGCATGGCTGTACCTGACATCCTCTCCATCCTCCAGCATTGACAGACAGATGGTGCACTTCTCATCGGTGTCCAGCTCCTCATCATCCAGACACATCTTCAGGTCCTGGGGTATTCTCTGCAGAGAGAAAGGCAGACAAACACAAAGTGTGTTGTGGAGCTGCCTACTGTGTTTATGCCACGGGTGTCTCTGGTGCAACTAAGACAAGAATCACCTAATCATACGTCCCAGAAAAAGAAAGACACCAAGAGTGAAAACACCTAATTTACCTCTTCTCGTTCCCAACGCACAGAATAAGCAGACACTCTTCCAAGAGTATTTGGGTCATATTCAATGTAGACAGTTTATTTTTATTCATTCCATGCACATATCTGCAGACAGCAGGATGAGTCATCCCTCGCCTTGAATTCTGCACACCATAGACCCGTCTCACTAATCTGCTAACGGAAATTAGTCTGACCTTTGAACTACTGTGAAAGTCATGACCCTCTTATCCTCTTGGCCCACTACTGCCCTTTTCCATTCCCATCCAACAGTCGGCTAGTAACAAGCAAAATGCAAATCATTTTACCTTTTTGTACTTATGGGGGAAAGTGAATCTCTCTATGGTGGTTTGGACCGCTCCACGGTTTACACTGCCAAGTCTGTCCTCTAGCTGCAGAAGCTCCTAAGAAGGGAACGACATATGGACATGACATCTTGTTAAAAAATAGGAAGAAGGCGTGGTGATAAACAACTGACATTTGTATAATAAGTTATTCAAAAGCAAAAGACATTCAAGTGTGAAATATTTTGATGAGATATAATAAAAATGGTGCTTCAAGGAACAGGAAAGAGCCTCTGGGAAAACAATTGTGTCTTGCTCAAATAAAAACAAATGTCATGAGATTAAAGGCAGCTGGACCATTTGTGGCATCTGGAACAGAAAGTAATTGTAAATTTAAAAAATAAACTGCTACACTCAAGGCTGTCCAGAGCATCGGTCACAGAGAATACAGTGATAAATTAGTGTAGACTATTGTGCCCGTGTCTGAGGAGAGAGAGAAGAAGTAGCACAAACCTCGTAGCTCTCTCTAACAGCAGACGCGTGACGGGAGTGGTTGAGACTCTGCAGAGCCAGCAAGTGTAGCTGGGGATATGGGTAGTTTCTGATCTCATGGACAACCTGAGAGATGACAGATAAAAGAAGCTAGCTTCAGCTCTGCAGCGAAAAAAAACACAGCAACACGGGTCATCCCTGGCTGCTGGGTATGAAAATTAATCTCAGAGACGCAGAGGAGAATCACTGGGAGTTCATCAAGATGAACATGATTGATTGCACTGAGGCAGACATGGCTCACCACTTGTGTTGAGGCATTGTTTCTAGGGAAGTGGTGCATCCTAGGAGAGGTCAAGTAGTGTTGATAGTGCTGCGGCAGCGGATGGATGTGATACTGGTGGGGAGGCAGTCCAGCATCTACACTTAGATCCCTGACCAGAGAGCAAAAAACAGGCAATGACACAAAAGCATAGCCACAGCATTATAAAAGACCGTTATTCCCAGTGCTTGTACTGTTCTGCTGATGATGCTTGGAGGTACATTGGAAGACTGTGGAATAGCTCAACTTATTTAAAAAAACTAATTGTGAAATGAGTTTTTAAAAAACCCACACTGAGTCAGCTGTAACATCTAAATAACCTGTTGAGTGCACATGAAAACAACTGAGAGTTCATTAAACGTATAACTCAATAAATGGTTAAAATAATTAGCTTGAAGTAATGAATAAACAGGTGTAATAATTAGCTAAAAGTAATGGCAAACTAGTTGAATCATTTGGCTAAATGCCTTGGCTAAACATCTGTAATAGTAAGATAGAAGTATGAATAGTAAAGCTGAAATAGCTGGCAAAAGGTAATGGATGGTTTAATGGATGAATGGATCAATAATGGATATATTTTCAAATGTCATCATTTTAAGTCTTGAGGTGTCTGTTTTCCCAATTTTTCTTCCACTTCTGCTTCTAGTAGTCATAGGATTTGTGTCAGATTTTTTCAGTAACCACTGGTCTTCTGTGTGTGGGAGCTACTTTTACCAGTTCCTCATGCAATTTTTTTACTTGCTAATAATAGCATCTTAATCAAGTATCTAAAGCTTTCTAATACAGTTTCTAAACAGAAATTAGAGACAAAGCACCATACAAGGCATTGTGACTTAATAACCTAGTGCTTTACACAGCATTCATAAAAGTTATAACTGATCTACATCATTAGATCTATTATAACAGTTTGCTTTTGACCTTGGCCATGAGTTTAAAATAGAAGTCAGATTTTTCCAGGAGAGATAAAAGAATGTATACCCTGCATATCCCTGAACAGAAGGATGTATTTTTTCCACATGTTTTTCCAGGGCCCTCTTTCCCATGATTTCTTTATAAACATGAGTTTTCACTCCACAATTTTAACCTTTGCTTCTTTATGGCATTACTAGTTTCCCGGAAAACATTTTTTAACAGATAAACTAAAAATTCTTATCTCTGGAATCTGCTAACAAGACATGTACAGTCCATAATACACAATTAAATGTGACCAAAAATGGGAGAGCATTCATATGGAAGCTCACTACACAAGTTAAATCATGTTTACCCTTTATTTGACTGCAAAGAGGGGGATATCCAGCCATGCTGTAATAAATCTTCAGAGGCCCAAACCTAACCTGCCCTTAACTCAAAGCATCCTTGAACCCTTTCGTCACCCATGCAACGAGCAGATAAGTGGCTTGACACACAGGATCTGCATTGCATTTGCTCAGATTAAGCAGTACCTGGCCCGACTGGCTTGTACTGCATTTCAGTTTCTTCTTCTTCTAAACTGTATGTACAGCGTCCTCCCAGGGAACTGTAAGCTCGACAAAATACACAGTCAGCTGTGCTTCTGACCACAACACAAGGTCTGGTCTGAGGTTAGTGCTGACTCTCTCCCCGGGAACTGAGCTGATTCCCTAAATCCACTTTCATTTGCCAATCTTTCCCTGCCTTTAGCTGGCCTGCATCCTGCCTGTTCAGAATTACTTGCTTTCTGCCTTTTGCACCCTCAAAAATCCATTCATTTATTCTTCTCCATCGATTTTACCTCCATGTGCCTACTTTCCGTAGCTGCTGCTAAACATTTCAACATTTTTTTATGTCTCCAGGTGTATCAAAATGTGCCAGGCTTGTTTTACAATATGACGAATTATATTTTTTATTGCCAATTTTGGTGTCAAATAAGAGTTAATTTACTTTGGGCTCTTTGTCACCTAGGTCTTAACCCCATTTAATCTGGTCTTGATTCAGTTTTGATTCAGTTTGCAGTCAATGATACTGTTGTTGCAGACATTGCTATATAGTTTTGTCATTATTAATTTATGTTGAAATCAACATCAAACCTACATCATGACAACCGATGTTTCTAACAAAACCAAAGTGACCAGTACAGTTTATTGCTATAGTGCTGCATACTGTGCAAAAGAAACAGTATTAATGTTACATTTGGTGAGATGCAGTGTTTATTGTCGATTTTTGTGTCTAATGGGTTTTGCAATTAATGCATTTTCAACTTGATCTCAAATACATTCAGTGTGGTTTCAAATTTGACTATACTAAGTTCATCTTGCCCACTGAAACTAAAAAGAAACAAAACCCTTCTGTTCAGTGGTGCAAAATAGGTATTATACTATTTTGTATAACATACTAATACTTCTGTTGGTATGAAATATAAACTTAAATGATGACACTCTGTGGCAGTGTATATAGTATAATAAGAGGTACATTGCTTACCAGTCTGTGCCCTCAGCCAGGTAGCGGGGCTGCTGCACCACAGGTTGAGGGGGCACATGAAGAGGGGGAGCAAACTCATAGCCAGGCCGCAGCCTGTGGGGCTGGTGAGGAACTCTCTCAGGGGTGCGTCTACTTAGACAAATAACCAAGCATTTGAAAACATCCTGGGAAAAAACAGGTTTGTTACAAATATGGCCTTGATTGTGATGCCACTGCAAAAACCTAGTAGTCCCCAGCGATCTGCTTGAACCATTAATTAACTGGAACCAGCACAGCTTAACATTTTATCTCATCTTTCTTGTTCTGTAAATTTCCCTGCAAATCTGTGTGAGTACCTGGAGGGTGGCAGGATGTGTCGGTGCTGGGCCTCAAGGATCTGCTGCTGGAGGAGGTATTGCTGGTGTAATGCCTGAGGTATGAATGGGGGGCCAGGGATGTCCTGGAACTGTGGGGTGGGCAGGGGGTTGAGGGGCGGGGGGGGCGGAGGGGCCGGCCGGGGGAAGTGGCGGGGGGGGGTGAGGGTGGGGTGGAGCGGAGGGCCGTGCTGGTGGCTAGGAGGGGCCAGGTGTGGGTTAATGCCTGACTGTGGCTGCCCTGGGTGGGGCATGGGGAAGTCCATGGGCAACGGGGCCTGAGGACCTAGCTGGAAGTGCCGGCAAGAGGTAGCATGGCTGTGCTGCTGCTGTTGCTGTTGCCGGTTGAAATGGGATCCTGTGAAGGATAAGGAGAAGCTGTCAGCTATCTGAGGGATGAAAGCAATTGGAATTAATTGTGGGTGAAATGTGGTGTCACTGTATGTGTGATAGAGCATGTTAATGAAGCCCTACCTCTTACCTAGGGTGAAAAATACTTCTGTGGGGGTGAGAAAATGATGGTTACCACAAGTACCACGAGCACAACCACAAAACACGAGCTTTCATTTCTTTCATTGCATTTCCGACCTCTGGATCGGCTCCTGGTCTTCTGATTCAGACAAGTAAACTGGATCAGAACAGATGAACTCTACCAGCATATGGTCTTCTATGCAGCCCAGTTCTTGTAAATTCTGCAGCTGACAGCAAGTCAGTGCCCTCAGTGGTAAACCATGATTACCTGGCTGTCTGGAAGATTCCCCAAACTGTTGAGATGCCAAGTCTCATCTAGATAACCTTAAACAATTCCTTCCTTACTAAAAAGAAAACCACACAATAAGACATGTATATGTGGTTAACTAAAACCTCTTTCTTTGTCTTAAAAATACAGTATAGCTCTACTTGTCCTTGTCCCATATGAATACTCAGGAGTTGAGAGGAAATAGCTCGAATGCTTTTTGTTATTCTCTCCAACCAGTTATTTCGCAGGGGCAGTGAACAGACTGCTGTCGAGAGTCAACAGGGAGAGAAAGACAGGCTAACTTGTGCCCTGGTGCAATATGGTTTTAATAATGTACTTAACCTTAAAGGGGCCTTTTTGATTATGAAAGGTTTGAGAAATTTCAATGTTTAGCTTTTATTAGAAACTTTTGATAAAGTTCTGGCCAAAAGAAGCCACAACAGGCCAGCAATAAAGCAGAATTCAGTGAATTTTACAGAATCACAGTAGATTAGGGATTAAAATTGTGCAGTTTAAGTGCAAAATTCCCGCACGGTGTGACAACGCTTTGACAGTATAAAAGACATGACAGATTCTGACAGTGATTTCTTAAATTAAAAAAAAGAGGAAACGGCTATGTCTACATTGCATTTACTAAAAGTACACTTGAGAAACGCAGTATGATTTTAAACACACCTGGGGGGGGGAGAAGTGCAACTTTTCATCAATATTTACAGCTTAACAGGTCATCTGTGTGGCCAGGCAGACAAGAGATGACCTTGCTGCCATGGGTCAAAGGCTCAAGTCTAGACTGGAGAGAGCACACTGCGTTTTCAAGCGTCTCAGTGAAAATGATCACCATAAATGACAGCAGATAGACTCATTCAGGCCCTGTGATGGAAGAAGCGTGGAAATTGTCTATCTTTGTCACAGCAGGAGAGGAGGTGGGGGGTGGGGGGATAGGTAGGGATAAGGGAGAGGGAGGACAATAAATGGAAATCAGCAAGAAGCACACTGAAGGTTAGGGAAAAACACTATATTCTTTATTGAAAAAAATATTAGTATATGTGGAATTCTGTGTTTTCTCTCTTGTTTGTAATAATAGTATAAATCCATGCAACAAAAATAAACAACATAGACTGAAGGCAAGGCCCATCATGCTCCATATAGGGTTAAAAAGAACAAAAGCAGCATCCAATGAGCAGACGTGTTGGCTACAGCACATGATTCCAGTACAGCAGGGTACATCTTTTCTACAGAAAGATTACATTGGATTTCCACTAGTCAATGTAGAAAAACAAAAAACAAAAATTATGAATCATAATGTGATCATGCATTGAAGGTACTATTACCAGAACAAAAGGTAAAGAGAGACCACAACCAAACAATAAAGACGTTATTACTAATAGAGAATCTCTTCAGCAGTGCAGGAAAATAGGCATCCCTGTGAAATGGATAGCATTTTGGCCTTATGTTAGTGGGGGAAATTGGGAAGTGATGAACCACCAGTGAGCATGTTTTGCTTACTTAAATGTTTAGAATTTAATCTGCCCATTAGAGGACAAACAGCCCTGATAATTCAGTGTGATTCAAAGCTTGAATTTTGCAAAGCGAACAAAAGGATTACACAAAAAAATGGAAAACAGTTATGGCAGGTTGTTGTGTGCAGGTGCAGTGTACCTTGAGGCATTTCAAATGATCATATTACAGCATTTGATGAAACGCTGAGTTTAACCGTAATATTGCATACATAATAGTTCCAATGTGCATGCCTTTTTTTTTTTTTTAACCCCAAATATAGGTCACTTTTTTCATGTACACTGCACCTTGTGTGAAGAGAAGGAAGATGAGCCAAATTCTGGTGTTCAAAATGCAGTGCAGTATTTGAGATCATGCAAAATGTATCCACTTTACAGGAATTTACAGCATGTTGTCTATCAAGACTGGATGGGAGGTACACAATGACATTCAACTGATATCTAAAAAGGAGCTAAAATGTTTTACTCATTGCTACAGCAATTTGACAGAAAAAAAGACAAAAGGTGGTCTGTACTAGGTGTTAGCTATTGTTTTAGTCTGCTTAACATGGAAGGTCTATGGCTGAGTACATCTTTGGGGGAGTGCTTTTTAATACCAATGTCGTCTTCTGATGGAAAGAGGAAATGAAGAAGGGATTCACAATACAGCTAAATGCAGAGAACAGGCAGAGGCCACGCCACACCACACAGCAGCAGATGATCATTAGCTACACAATGGGGGGGAAGACAAAGATCTGATAAATGCAGAATGTAGAGCCAGCCTCCATACTATGAAACAGGGAAATAAGAACAGAAATAAAAGCACAATGAAATCACTGATGCCACTGTTATGAAATTAATGTTGCACTGTAGCTTTTATCATTGTTTCAACTGCGACCGCAGACTGGTGTCTTTTGCAGTTAGGCTGCTTCAAACAAACAGCTGCTGAACTGCCAATTAATAAGAGAAAACGCGACGGATCCACTGACTCTTCCCGGGCAATTGGCCATGTATCGATTAGTACAATGGCTAGTAGATAAATGACTCAAATCACGTTGGGAAAAAACGGCGAGCGCTAGCAGAAGCGGATGATCTTGAAATGACATCATCCAGGCACTGATAAGCTGACTGGCTCGGCAGGCTACGTCTATTTTGCGGTATTTTACTGCGAAAATACACGATAGCGCTTTGGGAAAAATGCCAGTGCATCACAAATTTTACTGAATTACAAATCACACGGATAAAGTGTATCCCAGATTCATGTGGAGGAATGTACTCTTAGCATTAGATATAGTGGACCGCACGCCCCGTACATGTGGAATCCTTTGTGAGAAACGTTTTCGTACCGAGATATAGCCTGAACCAACGAGCCAGTTAACGCTAGCTGATCTTCAGCGACGATATTTGTTTTCTAATGAGGCGCAATTACACTCGGCAAACTACATTATTCAGTGGTTCACATTCATCTGCAACGAATACGAATTTAAGTGGTGTCAAGATCCAGGCAGTTTCGCGAATAAAATGACCGTTAATTGAAGCTAGCTAACGCGGGCTAACCCGATGGCTACGCTCCAGCTAGCAAACCAACAGCTGCAGTGAATATTAAGATAAACAGGGCACATGTTTGGTTCGATATGAATATTAATACTGTACCTCTGTTTCTTATTGAGCCGAATACAGGAAGAACCAGATATCCGACATGCACTAACACCATCCTGGGATCCTTATCTTATGATTCCGCTGGGTTATTTGGGGAGATAGAGTAGTAGTAGTAGCCCATGCGGATCTACATTCAGGCGGCTGGTTGTTGCTGGCTGGCAGAGCGACTGCCTGACTCGCTCATCGGCTGTCGGTGATTAAAGCAAACGTGTCATTTGCTGTCCAGAGCAAAAGAGGGCGATGTTGCAGCGCCACATACCAAAGTGTCTTTAATTGTGTGGATGCTGTAAAGCATCCACACAATTGTTATCCTGTTCTTTTTTTTTTTCTTCTGATTACGTCCGTCCGTTTTTTGGCACTTAATTTCTTCAACATACTTTCAGCAACAAAAACCATTCAGGTATCAAAATGTTCATAACTTTAAGGACAGTTCTGCTTGTATTTTTTATTTTTTATAAGCTTTAAACTTTTTAAACTATTTAGTGTTTTTCAGCAATTTTTTGCCCCATTCAAATGAATGGGAAAATTCAACTTCAGCATACTTTCAGCTGTCAAGTTTGCAGATGACATGACTGTAGTTGGCCTCATTACCAACAACGATGAGGCCAACTACGGTAGTGAGGTGTGCCAACTAGCCCAGTGGTGTAAGGACAACAACCTCTCCCTCAATGTGGGGAAGACAAGAGATTCTTGTGGACTTCAGGAGAAAACCTCTAAAGCATCCCCCACTGACCATCGACGGTGCTGTAGTGGAGAGAGTGAGCAGTACCAAGTTCTTGGGGGTGCACATCTCTGAGGACCTCCCCTGGACAAACGACACCACATTCAGTACCTCTGAAAAATGCATCTCTCAAATAATTCTGACACTGGACTGTGTATGTGGATGGGCCTGCTTTTATACACAACACACGATGGACAGAATTTCAGAGTATGTGCACCGCAGATGTACTTTTTGCAGTCGGTGCATGTGGTCTGTGTCTTGGAGTTTTTTGAGGGTCCACACACTTTGCAGTGCTTCCTCTTTTTGCCAGTGGCTGCTAGAGGTTGTGGTTGGGTGGGTCCTGCAGGTGGGACAGCAGGATCCTCCTGTATCCTCTTAACGATGGCAAGAGAAGCTGGGTTCCTGGGCACATGTTGTCTCCTCTGTGTGTGCGGTGTTACTAGTGCCTCATCCAGATTACAAAGGCATGTATGCCGAAACATCTAGGATGTTGAATAAAATCACAAGTGGCCACCGTAATGTTCTTCTTTTGCAGCTGTAGCAGGATAGCAGCTTGTCAAGATTGTCAACCCCTCCTTTGGTGGCATTTGGTGGATTACTTTGGATATCTCAAAAACTAAAACCCTTGAGAACACCATCTCTCTTTACAGGTCAAAGTAAGTGTACAGTTTATAACTTTAATCCCAAACCATAAATGTGAGACATAAAATGTGCCATCGAAATAATTTTCCACATTGTCTGTTTGTTAGCTAATCTCTGATTTACAAAAAACTTCATATTAATCCCAATCTGACCCCAGAAACACACACACTTTCCCGGCTCACATACAGACTGCACTCTGGATCACCTACAATAAATTCACAACTATTTTGATAATCGTATAGAAATAACATGAAAAGATGATAAAAAGGAATTAAACAGGTAGAGGTTAGGTGATGAGTTGGGTGCATAATGGCATCTTAACATCTTGAATGGGTAAGTATAATTTTATTTGCTTTAATTCCATTTTATATAGTAGTCATGAACCAATCATCTGTGCCTTAGTTTTTTAAAAACTGAGCTACAGCTCCTCTGGTCTTCTATTTATCTTTCAGAGTGAGGAGAGAGGAAGTGATGGAGGGCAG